AGGAAAAGCTACTCAAAGAGGTTTGGAAAAAGTGAGTAAATGATGACTGAATGTTCACTTTTGGTTGAAGTGTCGCTTTAAATAATGTCACTAGTTCCCTTGTTCACTAGTAAGTCCACCAGGCATTTTAAGTGCTGTCAGTCACAAAATTCTTCCAATGCATTGAAACATTTGCACCCTAAATAGTCCCACAGTGCACTATGAAAATCAGGTTGCATCGATACACACTATATATGAGCCCTTAACGGAAGTTTAATAGCGTGAAATATGAATCACGTGACCCAAATCATCAAACGTAACAACAAACGAGAGACGCTATTGTCTAAAAACAATCTGTTATTTATTTATTGTTATACAACAGTTCTGCTGCTCGAATCTGATTGGCTGATAGCCACGAGATATTAAAGCAATATCAGCACTTATACAGCCTCTTCACCCTTGTGTATTACTCCGCCCACACTAGGACTAACAAGGGACTAAATTCACTACAGTTTGACAAATATAGCAGCTGCTGGACAATATAATGGACAATATATGTGTAAACTATTTATAAATAAATACTTTTGAGGTGTTTTAGTCGAGAAAATAGTTGTTTGGATTGCAACTTTGCAGTTTATTTATAAGGATAGTGTCTATTTTAAATAGATATAATATTAGAGATACAGCATGTTAGCAGCCATCAGCCTGTCATACCGAGCAGAGCAAAGATGTTCGGCCACAAGATGGCGACAGAGACCACATAATAAGTCCTCAGAGGAGAAAAACTTGGTAAATTTCAAACTACAGCTGATCAAATCATCAAAAGGCAGGTGAGTGACATTCTAAGTCCATCTCTCTCTTTTATATGTTGTAGTGCTGTATTTATACCATAGTAATCTGCTAGTGTTTGCTTTGTTTTGTCGTTTTCGGGGTCAATTATTGTGATCTCCTGATTGCAGCAGAGAAACACTGGGAAATCTCTGTAGACTGGTGGCATTTCATGCTATTCAGTCTTATAATCTTAAAATGTGAGCAAACTCAGCTGTTTTGTCATCACTTTAGACATTACACTAGAGAATCATTCCAACACTAGCTCTACAGTGATGTCAGTAATTGAGCAGCGGTTTCTGCTGTTCTGACGTCAGTTGCAGATGGAAAAAAGTAGTTCCTTATACAAAAGGGTTTTGAGACTTCATTTTCATGTTTCTATTGATAATGCAGTCGAACTGTTGTATAAACAAAATCTCACACGAGTAGCAGTGCGATATGGCTGTGTCTTGTCACTGGTGAGGGACACTACGGCCCTGCTGCCTCAAGCCAATGCACGCCTCCCACCAGTGCCTATATCCAGCGGGGTTTACATGTGCACATTAAAAAGCATTGCATGCAGCTCACCTCGCAACTGCACCAAGCTTGCAGTAACAATCCAGTTCCCCTCTCGACGTTCTCTTGTGTAACCCCACCGGGTTCTACGCCACCCAACCCGCTCCGAGCTGATATCGAACCGGCGACCTTCCGCATGGGAATTGGTTGCTCTAACAAGGAGGCTAAAGACCATGGCCTTTAGAGTCTTTCGCTAGAGCACCTTTAGAGGTCAGAGGAGTGAGGTTTACCTGCACAGCACACACTAGGTGGCCTCCATTACACTCACCCCGCTAAACCTCACTCCCATCTGGGTCACGACACCAATGTAACCCCACCGGTCCTACGCCACCCAACCCGCTCCGAGCTGGGATCGAACCGGATGGGAGTTGGTTGCTCTACCAAGGAGTGAGGTTTACCTGCACAGCACTTACTAGCTGGCCTCCGTTACACATGTCACAGTGAAGAGAGCCAAGTTACTTAGTGCTCGAAATCATCCACACGACCTACTAATGAAGAATATAGGCTGATTTCACACAGCCGCCATTTTTAAAAGCGAAATCGAGGCTGCGATGGAATGAAACCTGGAAGTCTCATAGGGAGTTGCATAGGAACGTTGTGTACTGGGCTGAATATCTTATCAGCGAAGAGAAAGTGACACAAATTTATCATTTCATAGTCTTCCCAGGGTGAAGCAGTGGCGCAGTAGGTAGTGCTGTCGCCTCACAGCAAGAAGGTCGCTGGGTGCGAACCTCGGCTCAGTTGGCGTTTCTGTTTGGAGTTTGCATGTTCTCCCTGCCTTCGCGTGGGTTTCCTCCGGGTGCTCCGGTTTCCCCCTCAGTCAAAAGACATGCAGTACAGGTGAATTGGGTAGGCTAAATTGTCCATAGTGTGTGTGTGAATGTGTGTGTGTGTATGTGGATGTTTCCCAGAAATGGGTTGCGGCTGGAAGGGCATCCGCTGCATAAAAACTTGCTGGATAAGTTGGCGGTTCATTCCGCTGTGGTGATCCCGGATTAATAAAGGGACCAAGCCGACAAGAACATGAATGAATGAAGAGTCTTCCCAGTGACCCGAAGGTCCGTTCTGAATGAATAGTGAAAATAGAAAGGGATATCAGAGCTCATTTTCAGCTCAGTTAAGGGAAATGGCACTAGTTAGCTGCATTTTCTTTCCCAAACACATGAATGTACAGAATCTTTCACTATAGGAGACTTGTCAGGATACTGAAATAAAAGAAAAAACATCAATTTCCCACTAACATTTTAGGCACTGTTGATGGCTTTCCTTAAACAGCGCTGATTTGCCATTGTGTTCACGTGCTCAACAGAAATGATTGTGATTGGCCGTGTAGGTCATCAGTTTACCCACCGCTGTTTACTGAGCACAAACACAGACGAGTCGAGCGATCTGCTTGATGACTTGACTGATCTTCACGGCTGCTTCGCACTCCAGTGTCCGTGTATCTGTGTTTGCACTGGGTGAAGAGCGGTAAACTGAGTGCAAACGCATAGACACGGAGACTGGAGCGCCTAGCAGCCGTGAAGATCAGTCGAGTCATCCGCGCTCAGGAGTGCTTTAATGTTAGCCGGTTTTAAAACTTCAGTACAGGGACAACACTTTTACAGACAACACGAGGGTGTGCAACAGAGGATTGCAGGGTTTTATCACTCACCGGGTTACATAGGCTGAAGCAGGGAAGCGTCCCCACAGTTTTTAACGCCCCATTCACACGGGGCTTCAGCGTCAACGCTTGACTGAAGGCGTGTTTAAAGTTCGGGCTGAATTGATCGTCATAGCAGCATCAGCCAATGAAATTCAGTCAGCAATAGGCCACTGTCTGAGCTGGTGTATTTGCATATGTAACGGAGGCCAGCTAGTGTCCNANANGNNNGNCACGCNGGCCCAGCGGANAGCACGGAGGCCCCACAGCAAGAACGGCACTGGGCCAAGCCTTTACCAAGGCAGGCGATTGTTCTGTGTGGAGTTTACACGTTCTCCCCGTGCTCACGTGTATTTCCCCTGGTTTCCTCTTAAAAATATGCAACTTAAGATTATTGACTAATCCAAATCGTAACCGTAGACGTGCTTCTACCAAGTACTTGTCTCTTCTAAAAAGCAATCACTATCTGCTCTTCAGCCACTATGACAGGGGAGTTCTCCAGATCTACCTGAGCTCAAACTCCCCTCTCGCCCTGCAAACAGGAGGGAGCCCCCGGCTCGATGATCTTATGAGCTCAGGGCTCTCTCCCTGGACAGCATGCCAAACCGCTTTATATCAATCATCAGCTAAGTGTCAACTCTTGAACTATATTGAGAGTATATTAAGCTTTTCCCTTTTATGCTGGTTCTGAAATCACCTTCAAAACTTAGGGTGCTTTCACACCTACACTTTTGTTTCGGAACCTGTCTCGTTTGCCCAGTTAGCGCGGTTCGTTTGGCATATGTGAACAGGGCAATCGCGCTCTGTTCCGCGCCAAAGTAATCGCTCCGAGATCGCTTGAATGAGGTGGTCTCGGCTCGATTGAAACGAACCCTGGAGCGGTTCGATTGCAGTAAGAAAGCGATCTGATCCGAGTGCGGTTATATCACAGTGTTTATGGATATGTAATAGGCTTACGGCTATATGAAGGGAGAATTATGAGGATGGCGGGAAGTTTCGCGAGTCTCCGGATGCCCGCAAACGAGTGATGATCTCCCGGTGATCTCGCGTCTCTCTCCCGGTCCTCAAATAGGCATCGTCTCGCACCCTTCTCACCCCTCCCCACCGCATCTCTCCTCAGACATGTCGCGCGCACCCTGTCAATCACCACCAAACCACCACCTCTCCTGACAGCTGAGCGGGACGCTGCAAAATAAACCCTGACACTCTGACCAATGTGAGGAGAGTTTACTCGCACGTGACTTGTTTTAGCTCTTTTGGTCCGTTTAGTAACTTTGCAGTGTGAAAGCGAACCGCTCCAAGAGCAAAGAGCAACAATGTAACAATTGTAATCTCTGTTTCAGAACAACTGAATCCATTCACAGGTGTGAACGCACCCTTAGTCGAGACTTGCGCTAAGATTATCGGTTTACTTTTGCGGCGTCTAGTAGAGTTGCATGAACAGCAAATGCTGAGGGAAACTCAAAGTGTGATAGGAGAGCTCCTGTTAATCAGCGCTGGTGTGTGTGAGACTCACAGCATGTGTGTATGCGCCGTATGCTCCAAACTGGACGCTCATTGGGCTGAAGATGCCGAGCTGACCCGCCATCTGATGCATCCGCCGCAGCGTTCGCTCCT